TCAACTTAATTTGTTTAATTGACACCAAAGGAGAGACAGTCTTAATATGTATGATTTTTTTGAAAAGATCTGAAATAATGTATTTGTCAATAATGAAAATATTCAAATAGTAAATTTAGTAGTCCTGGAGCAATAATGCCAGTAGCATTTGACACAGATGTAAAGATATTCTACAAGTTGTTTTCACTATAAGCAAATTTAAAAAAAATGGTGGTAATAATGGTGGTGGTAGTGATTCACATTTATGTGCCAGACAAACTTCTAAGTTCTTTGCATGTATTTTACATCATAAGAAAGATCAGGTATTCCTCATTATACTGTTCATGAAATGGAGATGGAAAAAAGTTACCTTGCTCAAGACAGGACTGTTTTTAAGTGGCAGACTACTATAAAAATAAACACAAAGAGCCGGTTTGACTCAGTGGACAGACCATGGACCTGGGGACCAAAAGGTCCAGGGTTCGATTCCGGTCAAGGACACATACCTAGGATACCTACGTTGCAGGCTCTTCCCCAGCCTGGGCCCTAATTGGGGCACGTGAAGGAAGCAACCAATCAATGTGTTTCTCTCACATCAGTATTTCTCTCTCCCTCTCCCTGTCTCTTTCACTCTCTAAAAATCAATGGAAAAATATCCTCAGGTGAGAATTAAAAAAATAAATTAAAAACAAACAAACACAAAGGTATGTCAATTCACACAATAACACTTCCGCCTGTTGTCTTTTTACTTTTTTTTTTTTTTAGCAAATCATACATGCGTAAAAATGTACAAATTATGTGGGTGGTTCTATGAATTACCAAAAAATGAACACATTTAAGGAATCCTCACCTAGAACTAAAAATTGGGCACAATCAGCATCCCATCATCAGCACATCCCTACCTCTCCAAAGTGATCTCTACTCTGATTTGTAAGAGCATATATCATTACATGATTTTGTATTTTATTGAAATGAAATAGTATCACATGTATTGCTTATTTCACTTTTCTTTATTGTTTGTGAGATTCATCAGTTTTGGTCCAAGGAGCAAATGTTCATGAATATGTGTACCTGCTCTGAACTTCCTGTTCTGATCCATTGGTTTACATATTGATCCTTAAGTTAACTCTACGCAGTTTGATTGACTATAGATATTTAAAAAGTTGATCTTCTTTTGTTTTTAAGTTCCTTATTTCTGGTGCAGTTAAGAGAGATGTAAATGATATAATTCATCAAACATCACAAGTATTTGAGTTAAAACTTGCTCAGTGTTACTAAATAAAATCAAATATGGTGGTCCTGTGGTTAAAGTAAAAAAAAAAAAAAAAGAGTTGATATTCTTTTCAAGATTGTCAAAAATATTCCTGGAATTTCACTAGTAATATTAGAATCGGCTTTTCAATTTACACATACAGGCCTACACAAATTGCTGGGATTATTTTCCAGGAAACCCATAGAACATATAAATCATTTTGATAAATTTTAACTTATTTCCAATGTCACATTTTCCAATCATAAACAAGTTCTATTCTCCCTGTTATTTACATCTCTGTAATCTCTCTCAGTAATGTTTATACTTTTCTGAATAAAGGTCTTGCATAGATTTATTTCTAAGTGTTTTGCTTTTGCCGCCAATATAAATAATAAATATTTTTAAATTTATTTTTCAATTGTTTGTTAGTTGAATATAAATAAAGCTGATTTTAGATTGATCTTATATCCAATAAGCTTGCTAAATCTTATTTTAATAGTTTACTACAGTTTTACTATCTTATTATAATAACAATGTCTTATTACAAATATTTGCAATGTTATTTGCAAATAGTGAGAGCCTTATTTTCCCCCCAATCCTTACATATTTTACTTCTTTGCTTGCAGCAGTAAGAAAGTCTAGGACAGTGAAGAATATAAGTGATGATAGTGGACATTCTTATATATTTGTGAACTATTAGTATTTTATCATCTGATATGTTTCTGCAGGTTTTTTTAATACTCATAATTGAATTAAAGAAGTTCTTTTCTGTTCCTAGTGCACTAAGGGGACATTTGTGGTAATGATATTGTTGGTTTGGTTTTGGTTTTTAATCATGAAAGTGATTTTTGTTTTAGCAAATGCTTTTTGTGCTATCAAATGCTTTCTCTGAATCTACTGAAATTACTTTTCTCATGGCAAGAAATGAAATTTTTCCCCTCTGTTCTGTTTATGAAAGTAAATTACCTTAATTGATTTCTCAATGTTAACTCAATCTTGCATTCATGTTTAAATACAGTTTGGAGATGATATATTATTTATTTTGTGCATCGCTGAACTTGGTGTGCTAATTTTCTGTTCAGGATTTTTGCACCTGTGATTATGAGACACTTTTCGATATAGTTTCCCTTTCTTGGGAGGTTTCTATGGTGATGTGGTTTCAAAATAAATTCATTTTTTTCCCTACCATATGAAATAATTCATGGAAATATTAACATTATTTATTTCTTGAATATTTGAAAGGATTCTCTAATGAAGCCATGTGGGCCTGTAGTTTATTTGAGAGAAAGGTTTAAATTATGGATTCAATATCTTCAATAGATCAATGGCAACAAATTTTCTTTTTCTTCCTAGTTCGCCCTTAAACCTCAAGAATTACAACATTCCAATACAGAATGCCCAGAGTTCTTTGTCTTTTGGAACGCTCTGAATTTTTAGCTGCCATGGTAGCAGTTTCAAAAGAACAGAACACTAGCATAAAGAAGGGGGGAATGAGGATGGAAGAGACTAACCAAAGAATTTATATGCACCTATGCATAACCCATGACACAGAAATAGTGAAGTGAAGGCCTGGGGCAGGGGGCAGGGGGCAGGGGGCAGGGCCGAAGAGCTCACGGGGGAGAAAGGAGACATCTCTAACACTTTCAACAATAAAGATGAAAAAAGAAAAAGGTGGTGCATAGTCACATGAAAAGCTTTCTCGATACAATTATAGATGAAGATGATCAAATGGATATTTCACTTACATCAGGATAAAAACAAAGTAATCAGTTTCACGTGGATTTTCTTAATTTATATTAGTTTTCATGTCATAAAGATTTTTAGTATTTTTACTAAGTTTAATAAAGAGTTATGAATGTGTGTGAAAAATACTTGTTTCAAAGTTGTTGAGTAAATATAATGTAAACAGCTGCTTAGAAAAAGCTGGTTTCATTAATAAATTGTCTAATCTTCATTCAGGTGTGAGTGGCTTGGGCTTATACATGTTATCGTATATTCAAATTTCAAATTTATATCTTAAGTCAATGATAAACTGATAAGTATAAATAATTAAAACATTATGACATCTATATGTTATGAAATAATTTAATATCTCACCAAAAGTTTACATTTAAAAATTATAAAAATACATATTCTTTTGTCTTATATTCCAGCAGTAGATATATGTTGAAGACTATAAAATTTATCTGAAATAAGATTACTGAAATTAAACATTGCCAGTGCTATTTACCTAACACTGATTTTTGAGCAGTAATCTTAAAGACATTTAAAATATTTCCACCTTTGACTGTACAATGTTTACTACCACTTGTCAATTCCTAGGATATAATAATTAGAAGTTATTTAGCTAATAGCAAAAATCAGTGTTTTAAATAAAATTTAATAATTTATATGCAATGACCAAATACATATTCATTTAATAGAGAAAAGCATCAAATATTATAAAAAAAAAAGTCTCCAGTGGTAACCAAGTAGCCAGAATGTCAAACATGAAGGAAATAATATTTCAAAATCTCCATTGACTTTCTGGTCCACATTTCCAGTGTCTGACATATATTCCTATCATAATAACTCCTCACATAACAAACAGCAATGCATTGTTTGGGAGGGGTTTTCTTGGTAGTAATAGCCTCTGATGGGAATTATTTAACTACTAAATGGACTTTAAAAGGAAAACCTTCCAAGAGATCAAAGAAAGCATTAAAGCAGCAGTGTTCAACCTGTAGGTCACAACCTCTTTGGTGGTCGAACGACCCTTTCACAGGGGTCGCCTAAGACCATCCTGCATATCAGATATTCACATTACGATTCATAACAGTAGCAACATTACAGTTATAAAGTAGCAACGAAAATAATTTTATGGTTGGGTCACAACATGAACAACTGTATTTAAAGGGCCAGAAGGTTGAGAACCATTGCATTAAAGCCTTAGAAACAGGTTACACTTAGCAGTAGTTAGAGAAAATGGATGCAGACACACAAACAAAAAGGCAGGCCTCCAACAACAACCAAATAAAATAAATTAAATTACTTTTTTTTTTCTTCCCTAAAACACATACTAAAAAAACAAAACAGCCAAGCACCCTGTATGGCACTCATTGGTGTCAGCACTATGACATCACTATTGATGTCATAAAATGTTGCCTGGTTGTTTTCTGGTACCTTTTCAAAAAGGAATCAAGCACGCAGGGAATTCAGAGGCCACATAAATGTAAGTAGGGATGGCCGTCACTAGTAAATGTCTAAGTAAATACGGGGAGAAGAAACTACAGTGTATATAACCTCTTTCAAAGGTGTTTTCTGGTTCTTACCAAGCCAGACATGTTTGTTTAAGCGCCTGGTATTTTTACACATCAATAACAGGTGAGTTAATTATAAGTAACGATTATATTAGTAGACTATTAGTAGTTTGGTAATAGTTTAGCACACAGTTTAGTTTGGCACCAAAAGCAATTCAGTATATTAACCTTGAACCATATTCAATCTGTAATCTATAATTATTAATGTGTCATTTCTGTGTTGAAATTTAGTTGACCTGAGTTTTTTATCAACCTAACAGTTCATTTATTGACTTTTTCTTCATATTTTCTCCTGCAGTGGGCCTACCTAACCTTGTTTAGTATGTAGTGCTCCTTGTGCAAAATCGAAACAAGAGACAATTCTATATGAACAAATTCTCAACAAATTGAGAACCTTTTTTGGCCGCAAATCTTATTCGTTCAGCTTAGCTCGTCCCCAGCACACTTGGGGTTGGTACCGTTAAGAGACAATGGCTGCCTCGGAATCAAAGCGGCTCAACCGAGGGAAGATCTTGCGCATGTTCTCAACGTTTTTCTCCTGCATCCGAGGTCAAAATAAGCTCAAACGGGAGTCTCGGGAGATGAAAAAAAACCTTCGGAGGGACAACAAGGTGTCCCGGAACGAGAACAACGCGCTCCGAGGAGAAAACAAGTGCCTGTGGGCGGAGAACAAGGCCTGCGGAGAGAGAACAAAAGCTTCCGCAGGGAGAACCAGGAGATGCGGCAGAGGAATGAGACCCTGATGCAGGAGAACCAGGAGCTGTGGGCGGTGAACACCGTGTTCTTCAAGACCCCCAAGACCCCGTGGGAGAAGCTCAACGTCCGGAGCACAGAAACCAAGTCTTACTGGCAACAGAACAAAGCCCTGAAAGCTCAGACCAAGGCGCTCTGGGAGCAGGAGGTGGCCTTCCGCAACGAGGCGAAAGCCCTGCAGGAGGAAATCAGGTCCCTGCAGGAGAACATCAAGGGCCTGCAGCACCAGGAGCGCGCCCTGCGGCTGGAGGAGCTGGCCCTGCACAAGGAAGGAGCGGCGCTGGAGCTGGAGGAGCAGGCCCTGTGGAAGGTGGAGCGGGCCCTGCGCCAGGAGAACCAGGCCCTCCGAGAGGAAAGCGATGCCCTGCAAGAGGAGGCAAAAGCCCTCGTGGAGGAGACGCAGGGGCTGGAGCTGTGGAACAGGGTTCTCCGGGGGGAAGAGAGCAACCATGCTCGCTGGGGAGATGCCCACTGAGGACACAGAGCGGGAGACGTGCCATGGACACCATGGGCGTTCCAGAAAGCACAGTCAAACGTTTGAAGGAGATAGACTATTATTGGGGTGGAGTCAAAAGCCTGGAAATGTGCATTGCTCTGTACCTGATCTTAGGAACGAAATAAAGTTCTTAAAATTAAAAAAAAAAGGAGAGAGATCTAGGTTTACTTACATTTTACGCTTCTATTAGTGGTTATTTTTACTTATAGTGCCAAGTATGTACTACACGGAATGTGATGCTCGAATGAACCAACTGATGGTGGTGTTAGCATTCAGAGACAGCGGGTGAATATTGTAAAAAATTACCAGCACAGAGGGGATATTTGCCTTAAAACTCGCCCTTTGAATTCTGAACCGTGTAGTAAATATAAAGTTTTACATATGTATTGTGAAAAAAGATGTGAAAGAATATCACTTCTGCCTCCTCATGCTGACTCCAATGGTCTCAATGAGGAGGCCGATAAGATAAGAATTTAAACATTTATGTGGCCGTACAGAACATTTCCATGAGAGTTCGCAGGCTTCCTCACTTTACCTTCCTGGGAGGGTGGATGTTCTAGCTCATGAAGTAAAGAGAGAAAAGGGAGTAAGAGGACAAAGGTCTCCCAACTAGGAGTGTTGGAGCTCGAAACGGGATTCTGTGGCTCAGTGTGTGTTCAATGAAAATTGTAGAAGAAATGGAGTTTTCAGAAGCATTAATATTGATAATTGATCTAGTTCAGCAATTTTCAATCTTTTTCATCTCATGGCACACACAAACTACTAAAATTCGGGGGCACACCAAGGAATATATATTTTGCCAATCTGACGAAAAGTAGGTATAATTTTGATTCATTCACACCAGACAGCTATTGTTGTGTTGGCTGTTGTCATTTATTTGACAATTTAAGAAGGAAAAAAAAGGTCAGTTTCCCTGATTAAATAGGTATTACATGTTTTAAAAATTCTTGCGGCACACCAGTTGAAAATCACTAATCTAGTTGAATACTATTTAAAAAAGAAAACTATTCTGCAAAAACAGAGTTACAGGACTCATGATGGATTTATTAAAGTGACAGATGTAGTTGCATAACATTACATTACAAACTGCCAGAGGGCTGGTGCTGTACCTTATTTTTCATTATTGTAAATTTTGAGCACTTAAAACAGCGTAAACATTTAATGTTTTTTTAAAAAATCTTTATTGTTTAAAGTATTACATATAATATTACACGTCTCCTTTTTCCCCCATTGAATTCTCCCCAGCCACCCCCACCCCCAGCACATGCCCTCAACCCCCTATTATCTGTGTTCATTGGTTATGCTTATATGCATGCATAAGTCCTTTGGTTGATCTCTTACCAACTCCCCCCTTCCCCCGCCCCAGGCCCCCTGCCCCATCCCCTGACTTCCCTCTGAGGTTTGAAGGTCTGTTGGATGCTTCTCTATCTCTGGATGTATTTTTGTTAATAGCCAGTTAGAGGAAGATAAATATCACATGATCTCACTCATTTGTGGAATATAATGAACAACATTTAATGCTTTTTATTGAATATAGCAGATAATATCTTATCCTGATTCTTGGGTGATGTTGGTGGCACAGAAGTAAAGTAGAGGAAGAGAACACATTTTTCCTTTCCGAGGTGCTGCCGCATATGCAAAAAGTCAACATACATTGGGTACCTTTAATTAGCACCTATAAAGCAATACAAATACATTTGAGTATAAAAAGTGAAAAGACATATCCCTGATTTTAAGGATTCCACAGCCTGTAAAGGAAGATAAACATTTTTATTTTATACCCTGAAAGTCCATCTGTCTGATGAAGAGTTTACTGACCACTGTTCCCTGGAGCATACAAGGATGGGGCAAAAGTAGGTTTACAGTTGTTCATATGGGAAGTAATACAATAATCCATATATAATAAAAGGGTAATATGCAAATTGACCCTAGTGGCAGAACAACCAGAATGACCACTGGACCAGTCACTGTGAGGAGACAAGGTTTATAGATATGTTCTGAACTGACTTGTAGTCCAATCAGGGAAGAAATGCAAGCCTTTATCACTTTCCCAACCTGAAAAGATGCATTAGTAACTTGCAGGCAGGGGAAGGGCCATGTTTGTGTCCTAGGGATTTATGGATATGTGCTCTATTGACTACACATTTATTTTGATATGTTATTGTTCATAGAAAAGGGTCCTTGCCTGTTTTACTCTTTTGTGGTGAGGTCAGGAAGATCATGCCCGTGGGGTGGGCCTGGTTATCACTGACTCCTCTCAGGGAAAAGTCTGTCATTATTGCATCACAGCTAAATCAGCTTGGGTTAGACTTAAAGAGTAGGACATATACCTTTTCCACATCCACATAGATAATTTCTATTATCAATCCCTGTAGGATCCTTCATTGTCAGAAAAGCAATGAGAATAAGCTACATCGATGTCTACTTAAAGAAAATGACACAAGGACTCAGGGGGGCTGGAGCCCACTCAAATCTTGTTCACAATTGGCTCAAAGAGATGATTGTACACATCACTTCCAAGCTCTGAATTCATGACATTTACATCCGTGTCTTGAACTTTATATGCTCTCTAAATTAGTGCTGCTGCTGTTGTTTTCTGGTAGAGCTGGCTGTTAAATATTTACCAACCCAACATGAATCAAAGTACTTAAAAACTGCTTAAAGAAAAACAATGAAATGTAAATGCTTTATAATCCTTGAATATGTGCATTTTAAAAGAAGAGACTGTTGTTCAATTAATGTCAGATAGTTGTCATCAGTTATTTATTTTTCAAAAAAATCTCACAAGATATTAATGAACTATAATTTATTGGCCATGATTTACATTTTAAACAGGAAAAATAAAAAGATAAGGGCAACAATGAAGCAAGACCATTTTCCTCTAAAACACTATTACATTATTATATTTATATTAAAACATATTTTAAATATTTACATAACTACTTCAGAAGCATGTATTAATAATTTACTGTCAAAGTATAATTAGTATATTAGTATTTTGTATATGGCAAATGAAAAGCATGAAAGCAACTGGAAAATTATACAAATTCAAAAATAATTGAAAATAGATCACCGGTTATTTTATTTTCAGGATATTACACCTTATGTTCAGGGACTGTAATGGGCTAGACAGCAATCCTGAGAAAATGGCTCATTAGGGGTCTCCAAAGGGAAATGACTGTATAGTTAGGGACGCTAGAGAAATATTAGAGCAGCTTGAAATTATAGATTTTGTACTGAAAAAATTGTGATACGCTAAATTAAATTCAGATTGCAAGCCAAAAAGACATACATTGGATCAACAAAGAGAAAAGTGCTGGTGTTTGTTTATTTTGCTAAATCTAAAAGAAAACACACAAATAATTATGATTCATATAATTTTTATATTCATATTATTTTTGAGGAAACTCATGAAAGAGATGAGGTTAACTAGTAATATTAAAGTAGAATAGCTAGTATTACCTATGATTCTCTCTAACATTTAATTTTTAAACTCTAAAATTCCTGAATATATCTTTGAGGCAAGAAAATTACATCTATAAAGATGTATTCTGCTCTTCTTAAAAATATTTAGCACCATACAGTTTCTAGAAACCATCACTGTTACCACAGCATACTGCAAAAGGTAAGTATCTTTGATAAAATTTATTACAAATATCAACAAATGTATTGCATCGGGGTGATTATAATAAAATTTGAGTCATTGCAACACATAAAGCCATAACAAATGAGACCCAAAAGAAATTCTATACATTTTTTTTCTATAAGCACTAGGGATTCAATTTCCTAAGTGTGATAATTTGCAAACAAACTTTTACTTTGTCACTGTTCCTTATGTTCACCCCAAATGTTATCTCACACTGAATCCAGGCTGAACCACCTGACTTGCTTTGGCCAAGAAGATGTTATCAGCTGACTCCAGCAAAACCTCATTAAAAACTTAAATAAATAACACTTGTCTATTTCTACTTCTGCACTATTACCTCTATTGCTAACCTCAGAGCACTGCTGGGTTAGTTTGTTTTTAGATGGAAGACATGTTGAGAAGATTCAATTTCCACCAGTCATCCCATTGGAGGCCAATAACCATCTGACCACAGGCATGTGCATGAGTCCAGCCTAAACCAGAACAACCCAGAAGATCCCAGTCCAAATCACCAACGCACAGTCCTTTGAACCAAATACATGATTATTAATTTTAGTCACTGATGTAGGGCTTTTATTCAACATGATTGAGGCAATAAAATGCTTATCTGATAAACCAAAATTTTTGTATTCCTTCTATGTTATTATTTTATGCTTTTTACTTGTTTGAAAATTCTAAGGTTTAAAAAATGTTCAAGGCATCTTGAGTTAACTGATGACATTGTATGTTCTTTTGTATACATTTATAATTTTAACAAAATATACATTTAGATATAAATTAATTTAAATAAACATATTATTAAATCATTAGCAAAATATGTTTAACTAACATCTTCAGTAGTAATGTTATCTAAAAGATTATTAATAGCCTATTAAATTTAAATGAAAGAATAGAAATAGTAATGTTATTAGTAAATGAAATTTCAGAATAATGTAAGCTACTTTAAATATAAGATGACATAGGTTACTAATTGCTCACATATGTCAAGGAAGAATGCAAGTACTTTAAATTATAGTAAAAGTAAAAAAAATACATCTAAATCATACTGCTCATCTATAATTCCACCTAGGAAAAATGTATCATGAATTATAGACAATTTCCTCATAAAGGCCAATATTTTAAATTATTTGTCTTTGTCACATATTATTTAATATGATCCTTCTCTATACCGTACAAATACCACAACATTAAAAAAAAGCATAGATATTTTTTCTATGGTGAATGACACATTACTTTCATAGTAAGAAAAGCAGGATCAAATATGAGAAAATCAAATGAATTATGTTTAAATAGCATTTAGACACTGAAAAAAATAGATGAAGTAGAAAATAAA